TTTTTTTTTTTTGGGGAACCCTTTTTGTTTTGGGGGGGGGGCCCAAAACCCCCCTTTTTGGGCCCCCCGCCTTTTTGGGGGGGGTTTTTTTTTTTGGGGGGGGGTTTTTTTTTTTTTGGGGGGAACCCCCGTTCCCTTTTTGGGGGGGGGTTTTTTTTGGGGGGGGTTTGGGGTACCTCCCGGGGGGGGTTTGGAAAGGGTTTTTTTTTTTGGTTTTAAAGGGGGGGGGGGGGGGCTTTTCCTCCTGGGCCGGTAAATTCCCCGGGGGGTTTTTTTTTTTTTTTTTTTTTTTGGGGGGGGGCCCCCCGGGGGGGGGTTTTTCCCCGGGGCCCGGGGTTTTTCCCCCGAAAAGTTTTTTGGTTTTTTTGCCCTTTTTTTTGGGCCCTTTTTTCCCAAATACTTTCAGGAAAAAACCCCCGGGGGGCAAAAAAAATTTGGGGGGGGGGGGGTGGGGCCCCCTTTGGATTTTTTTTTTTTTGGGGGAAAACCGTTTTCCCCCCCCCCCCCCCCCCCCCCCGTCCCTTGGCGCTGCTTCAAATTTCCCGTGTGGTGCTTTGACCGCCATGCCCATCATAATACCCCGATCTCCAATGCGACGGGCATCACGTTTTCTTACGACCCTCCCTCCGGTATCACTTCACATGTAGGTGTACGACATGGGCGTGATGCAGCCGTGCGACCTGATCTTGGCCAAGGCGAAGCAGCTTAAGGTCGATGTCATCGGTCTCTCTGGGCTAATTACCCCCTCTTTGGATGAGATGGTCTTTGTCGCCAAGGTAAGGACAATTTGTGTTTGTTTTTTGTCACGTGTGCAAGAACACAGGACACACACAAGCGTGCCTCTTTTTACCCCACATATTTTGCGTGCCGCCACCCCCCCGCACACAAGCCTCCCTGTCTACTTGCGTTCGCTTCTTCTCTTCTCGACGTGTTTTGCTTTCGGCGTACCTTGTCGATAAGAAATTTCTTAAGGTGTGGTGATTGGTTGACACACGACGCGTTTTCTCCCCGCCAAAACCTCCGGCGGCCGAATATGCAGAAATATGTATCGGAGGAAAATCTGCTCTCACGAACGTACCTAGTGAAGTAATTATTTACCACCTCCACCTCTGTTCGAAGCACTACCATACCCCTGACTTCTTCGGCCTATCTCCGTGCCTTTGCTAGTTAGATGCGGGCTTGGGTTCTCGGTCCACCACCAATCTTTTGGGGTAGACAGCATTCATTTCTACGACCGGAAAAGCGAGGCTGTCGCTGTACGTGGTATATAGTTAAGTTTTTCTTACCCACTTCCTGTTGCCCTTGCCGTTGTTGCCCTCTGTCGTCCCCCCCCCCACCCCCGCCGCGCAGGAAATGGCAAAGGGCGGGTTCAAGCTGCCTCTGCTCATCGGCGGTGCCACGACTTCCAAGATGCACACCGCGGTGAAGATCAGCCCTCAGTACGCGTCGCCGGAGGTAACGCTAACCCAACTCAACCCAACTCTCTATAACCCTAACCCTAACCCAACTATATAACCCTAACTAACCTTTGCCCTATCCACGATTTCAGTTTCGCCCGATCAGATCGTTGCAGGAACAGACACACGCAATGCTTTTCAGTGCAGAAGTAACCGCCTGCCCGCATGAGCTAATTTCAACCCGTGTGCTTGGTTTTGCCACGTCCCATCGCCAGACACCGGTTATCCACGTGCTGGACGCTTCCAGATCGGTGACGGTTGTTGGTGCTCTCCTGAGCGACCGCAAACCGGACTATGTCGAGGTAAGCCCCTTCGTTGTTGTTGTTGTTGTTGGTGGTGGTGGTGGTGGTGGTGATAGTGTTCGTGTTTTATTGTTGCCGCATCTCCTTTGGCACTGCTGCGAGCCATGAAATCAAGTATTTGGTCTATCCTAGGACTTGAACGCCAAGCGTGTGCGGGAGTACGTACTCGTCGTTGATGAGGAGAAGGAGAAGCACTTGATCACCCTCATCACGACAGCAGCAATATTCCACGGTACTTCGTACAATTTTCCACCCCGTCCCAGGTATTTTTTCCCATCCCTTCCAGGACTGGTTCAGTTTCTCACTCACCGGAAACAGACTTGCATTCCCCTATGATAATATGTCCTCGAAAGAAGGCTTGTGGCGAAATGTTTCTGAATCGTTCGTATTTTGTTCCCTTCTCCGCAGGAGATAATGGAGGAGTACGAAGAGCTGCGGGAGGAGCACTACGCCGGGCAAGAGGAGAGGCACTACCTCCCCTTCGAGAAGGCAAGCTCCAAGCGCAAGAACATCGACTTCGAGAAGCGCCCGCCCGTGCCTCCCCCCAACAAGCCGGGAATTACGGTCGTCACGGGCTCCTACGAGCTCGACGACGTCCTGGACTACATCGACTGGAATCCGTTTTTCCAGGTGCGAAATTGGGAATTGTTGTTGTTGGAGTTATGGTCGTGTTTATTGCCGTTGCTGCTGGTGGTTTTGCGGTTATCGATTCATCGACAAGAGACCGTTTTTGCCCAGCAACGGTTTGAGAACGGGAGTTTTTTAGCTGGGAAGTGTGTGGGAGTGTTTTCAGCCGGGAAACGTTGTATGTCTACATCTAGCTGTCGTCTTCGTGTCATGCTAATGCGTGCCACTAGACTAGAAACATCTACCTTCTCTTCTTCCTTCTTTTCTCCAGGTCCTTTCGGCTCAGCTTCTAATTGTGTGTCAACCCCCCCACCCCACCCCCACCCCGTACAAAAAAAGAACATAGAACGGTGCGTGGCACCGTATATCGCAACCAACGCACGCTGGGCCGCCTCCTTCCCGACCCTGTGTGTATCGGGTGTGTTTGATGACACTGTTGCTGGTGATTTCGGCCAACGTTTTTTTCTCGTCTGTCTTTTTTTCTTTTGGGCATCTCCGGAGATTGACCCCTCTGCCACCATGTTATTCCGCCGGCTATGCATCAACCGCTGCCGATGCCGTCGCCTCATGTTTTGATGTGATTCATGCAGACGTGGGAGTTGAGGGGTAGGTACCCCAACCGCGGCTACCCCAAGATTTTCAACGACGAGTCGGTGGGAGAGGAGGCCAAGAAGCTCTTCGAGGAAGCTCAAGTCATGCTCAAGAAGGTACGGTAGGGGTTGCTGGTGTGTCCTGTTGTTGCAGTGATCTCTGATTCAGGTTTTCGTCGATTTTTCCTATCTAAACCTGAGGGTATTACTCTCGTGGGCATTGTTTCTTTTATGAAGAACAACCCCCTAAACGAAAACGCCTCCTCTAGCCTGACTACTGCCGTCATACCTCTCTATTGTTTGGTGCTGTTGTTGTGTGCATGAGTAGGGACGGGTCGCCGAATAGTGAGCCAAGGAGTCCTCGAGATGGTCACGCAATTTTCCTACATTACCCCTGATTGTTTTTTAGGAACTGCGATATACCGTATCGTTTAGAACTAGTGGAAGAAGCCTAAACTAAAGCACCTCTATGGAAACGGTTCCGCGATGTCCGTGCCCCTCTGCTTGCTTGTTTGAATCCGCGAAAAAAGATCGTCAAGGAAAAGTCATTGAACCTTGTCGGCCTCGTCGCCATCTTCCCGGCAGCCACGGTGGACGGAGAGGACGTCGAGGTCTACGCGAACGACAGCAGGTGACCCCCCCCCCCTCATGTCTTTTCCATCCTCCGTGCCCCCAAGCATGCGGTAGATCGCGTAGGATACCACACGCCCTTGACCGATTTTCACAGCTCAATACCATTGCTTGACGACGAAGAGGGTGTATGCATAAACCGAGACATTTTCAGAAACCTCTCGACGAGCGGTTTCAACGTCGTCTTTTTCGGTACCGTCACTGTTTTGTAGTTGAGAGCAATGGAGCTTTGAAAAGCGTTCCGTAGGGTGTGGTATCTTACATACATGCAACGACCAACGGTACCCGCCCTCTCGGCCTTGATGGTGCTCGTGGCCTCAGTCTTCGAAGGCTGTTGTTATCTTGTATATATGCCATGTAGCTGGGCTTTCCACGTAGAGTTTCGCAACACGGGAAGAACGACACTTGGAGAGACAGCGCCGTCTGTCCGTATTTTTCCGTCGCTATGGGTGGCACCACCCCCAAGGTGTACCTCCCTGGCTTTGTTGCGGTAGAGCAGCGATTCATCATCTTTGCGCAGTTCTAGTCCCTCAGCAGCACTATTTAGTTCCTCCGTCTACAGTACCTATAGTACCAAAAGACGTTCGAAAAAACTTCGCCCTTTTGCTGGATCCCTCAACAAGAAGTCATTGGTTTCCTCTTTTTTCCCCGTTGGGCGGCGTGTTTCTGCAGGGAAGAGGTGTTGGCGCGGTTCTGCATGCTCCGGCAGCAGGCCGAGAAGGAGAGCGACGATCCTTACCTCAGCCAGGCAGACTTCATCGCGCCAAAGGTTGGTGTTGGTGTTGGTGTTGGGGACATTTTTGTTTTCCCTTCGTGCTTTGAGGTTATGGTTTGTGTCGTGTGGTGACTTTTGTGTGTGTGTGTGTGTGTTTTTTTTTTTTTTGTCCTTTAATGCTTTGAGGTTAACACCACGAACGGGGGGTTGGGTTGGACGCCGAAAACACAGCAGCGGTATTGTTGTTACTCCTGTACAGAGGGCTGCTGCGTTATCGCGGCTGGTGCCGTGTGATTTTAGAGCCGTTGTTCGTGTCTCGGCTACAGTCGGACCAAAACCAAAGGACTCGAGCGTAGAATGCTCCTATTTGCGCACGGCATGTGTGTTGTGTGTGTGCGTTTTTGTTTGTTTGTTTGTTCCTGCCCCTTTTTATGCACGGCGTGTGTGTTTCGTGTGGGCGTGGTTTTTTCCCCTGCGATGAATTAATTGCATGCGCAAAGCGCAGCCGAAGGCAGGGTTTTACAACGCAACATAGAAGGACCCAAGCGGAAACAAAATTCGGTCCCAGGCATGGTTGAGTGCCCCAGGTTCCCTTGCTCTGCTAGGCGGTCACACCGAGCTTGTACTGTAGGGCCGATGGAGAGCTGACTGCAGGGGCACGGTTGCCGTGGCGTTGTGTAGACGGTCGGATCGGAATTTGCTGTCAACGCGTTTTCACCCTTTTATCATAAGCACTCATTTTGACGTTTTATCCCGCTAGGAGAGTGGCGTGGCGGACTATATGGGGATGTTCGCGATCGCGTGCATGGGTTGCGAGAAGATGGTGAAGGAATTCGAGGATCTCAACGACGACTACTCCAAGATCATGGTTCAGGTATGACAGCAGTATCCTCTTTGTTGTCGTTGCAGTAGCGATAGTCCCTGCTGTATAGGATTTGGCCGGTCTTGTACCGGGCACCCAGCACTATTCCGACTACCGTGAGACATGTCGGATGTTTCATCCATCTGTGCCATGCGACTGCACCGGCTTTATATACAGGGCGGAAACCGGCCTTATTAATGCGGTTTTTGTCAGGGCCACTTTGACACTGTAGCTTGACGTCTGAGAACCTCCCCTTTGCAACCAAATCAAAGTCTGCCAATTCTCGGCTGGCGAGACGCAAATGTCTTTGTGTCCATGTGTGGACGCCCACGGCGGCCGTATCGTCGTGCTGACGAGAACGAAACAACATGATGGTGTGCCCAGCGTGGTCGTTAGTGTTCCTCGACAGCAGTACATCCTCAATCCAGCGGCGTTGTGTGATCGATTCCTTGGGTGGTTGTTGAATCCGATGTTGTGTTGTGATCGTATGATGGGTTGGCCAGGCGCTGACGGACCGATTCGTGGAAGCCTTCGCGGAAAAGCTGCACGAAGACATGCGCAAGGACATATGGGGATACGCTCCGGACGAGAAGGTGAGAAAACACACGCGCAAGATATACCACACCCTCTGGACTGATTTTTGAAGCCCAACCACTCCACGACGAAGAGGATGCCACCCTCAAATTGTGCGTTTTCGGAAAACTCTCGACGAGATGGTTCCAACGCCCCCATGTCGGGCGCCGTCACTGTTTTTGCTGCAGAGTAATCGACCTGTGGATGTTGGTTCAGGGGGCGTAGTGTCGTTTCATCCTACGGTAGCCATTTCTCGTTGTTGGAGTCGTGGAGTTCCCTGAGGAAGGAGAAGACCTGAAGCATATCGCACTTGCGATGAGCAGGGAGCGCCAGGGTCGGCTCGACTTTTGCTCTCATCGCCAACATCGGACTTGTCGCCTATATCTGCATTAAGTAGCGCCAACAACGAGCTGCTGTTTTCTACGTGTAACGCCAACACGACGACATTCCAGGTGGAGGGTCAGGACTTGTTCAAGCTCAAGTACCAGGGCATCCGCCCTGCCCCGGGATACCCGTCCCAACCCGACCACACCGAGAAGCGCACCATGTGGGATCTGCTCAACGTAAGTGTGTTTACTTGATCTGGACGGGGGGGGGGTGTACTCATAGTCGTGCATGCCGTAGTCGTTTGACCATTGACCTCGCATCCCTACAAAGCCGGGACGGAGCACGCCGGGTTCTCACCGGACCAGGCTCTCACATCACCAAGCGCGAAGCGCCGTGAGGTATTTGGCGAGTCGCATGAAGGGTGAGCTGCATCCTGCTAAGGGTGTTCGGCATCTTGTGCTTACTTCCTTGCCTACGGATGACAGCTACGTATGACTTGATTTATTTTCTGGTGCTTTCACTTCCAGAGACAGTTATAAGCACTGTGTAACTGCCTCGAGGAAGCTTGACCATTTTAACACAACGTGGTGCGATCATCCCCCGTTGCGCGGAGTGAGGTTTCTCGACCCCGCACAACATGATCTACTCGACCACCATTATGGTTACCGCCAAAAAAAAACCAGAGGTAAAAAAAAAAACGGTAACCTGGTTGCCGAGTTCACGAAGTGAATTGGCTTGTTTTACAACGTCGTTGCCAAGCGACGAAAACCCAACCCCAATGGCAAACATCGGGGGGGGGCGGAGGGGGGCGTTTTGCACGCCTTAGCTGTGGGACCACTGACCACGCGTCCTCGAGGGGGCGAAGGGGTGCGGGTCACCGCGGAGTGTAAGAGGGTTACTGGAGGGCACACCACGCCCCTCTGTTCTCTAGGCGTTGATGTTGATTTGACGGCGTTGCTGTCACGAAAGCACGCCACGTCGCGCGTGGGTGCACAGGAGTACGGCGGCAGCAGCGGTGCTACCAAGTACTCACGCCGGCAGCTGGCTCAATTTTGCGTAGGTTGGCTTTCAAAAGAGCAAAAAGAGCATTTCTTATGGGTCGAATCGTCGTTGTGTTTTTACGTTTAATCTGCCGACCGTTTTCGTGGTCCGTTTTTTTTCCTTGTCGTTTCTGTTGTTTTTATCGCGCCCCTTAAACCTTTCGCCAATGCTGCCGTTTGTCACCTGGATGAGAGTCCGCGACATCGCCTTCCACCCATTTGGGCATGTCCATGTTCGAACATGTCTGGTCTCGCTGACTCTGCAACATGTGGCACTTCTTTGTTGTGGCAGGCCGCCGAGCTGACTGGCATCGAGCTGAGCGAATCCCTGTCGATGATGCCAGCGTCGTCGGTTTCCGCCCTGGTGTTCGCGCACCCTGATTCCGAGTACTTCGCCGTCGGAACGATCGCGAAAGACCAGGTGAACACAGCAGTAACGGAAGAAGCTTGGGGCTGGCTCGGTTGGGTCTCAAGTCGAGTAACGTGAAGCTTTGCATGTTTGACGAGCGACGTGCATGTGTCGCTCTCTTTGTCGCTTGTCACACATGCCCCTGTTCACGTGGCAGTAAACGTGGAGCCACCGGGTGAGGCTGCAGTCAAGGAGGTCTGACGCAAGAGTGCCTAGTACGTTCGCGACGCCCGTTCCACGAGTAGGGGAAAAGGTTCTTGTCCGACCCAGGTCCTGAATGAATTCGTGGTCACCAATGAAACCATGAAGGCGAGCGAAAGTAACAAGCAACACATGGGCAACTCTCCCCCCCCCCCCCAATACTCCGCTGGGTGCCGAAAACCACAGGTATCGTCTTACGCCGAGCGCAAGGGAATGGATCTAGAGACATGCGAAAAGTGGCTCTCTCCCATACTCAGCTACGACCGGGATTGACCAGACCATGACCAACACCAGCAAACATACAACAAAGGCTAAGTAAATTTGGTGAAACGTCTACAGCTGGGCGGCAGGGTAGCAACGGAGCGTACCATCGCCGTCATCATGGCTATTTTCGCCAAGCACCCCCCCGTCCTCCATCCTGATGGTCCTTGTATAGAAACGGGAGTATTTGGAGCCTTCCCCCGCCTCCTCTATGGGAGCGCCAGGGTCTGCTAGACAGTTCATTGGGTAGCGCGAGAGCTAGCGTTGTGTTAGGGAGTAACAAAAGGGAGGGGGGGGAGGTGGCAGCGCGACACGTCGTGTTGGTGTTCGATCTTGCGGTGCCCCCCGTTAGTAGGTCGACATATTCGTTGCCCACTTCTACATGTTTCATGTGTCGTACACGGCTGCTGCGGCATCATCTGCCGTGAATTGGCTGCCTCTGGCTGCAAGATGTCTTCGATGCATGCTTTGTTGCTGAGAGAACCAACGGCAACGGCATCAGCGCGTGCGTGTGTCAATTTTTTAAGTTTAAGTTGAGGAACGAGAGGAGGAGACAGACAGAGCAAGAAAGCCGGCTACGTTTTCACTTGTTTCTCTCCCCCCGGAGTCTTGTCGACGTGTTTGATCGTGTTTGTTGCCTCGTGGTGAATCGCGCGGGATAAGCGCGGTGCGATTAGCGAAAAGGATGAGTGACATGGAGGAAAGAAGACCCACGTTGCGTGCTCATCTGTGCTGTTATGCGTGTCGGTTGATTGGTGTATATGGTCGGGTCCCGCTATTCTCCAAAGTCGCCACCTGTGAAGCAGTGGTCGAGCCCGTCCCTCTTTGTGGGATTCATGCATAAGCATGCCTAGGCGTGCTTCCCGTAGCATAAGACATGCAGTTGGTTATACGAATATGGCAGCAGTTGGCGTGGACGCGACACCGAGTAGTTATCTTTAGGCCACAAGTGCCACCATGAAGGTGCGGTAGCACGGCACAGCCCCAACCGTTCCAGAAAGGGATGGGTTCCCTGGACGATTTGATGCATGGTGTGGTATTTTCCTACAGTGTAGTGTGCGGTTGTTTTTTCTGGTAAATGTGCAGGGCGTAAGATATGGGAGCGAGCATGGATACGCCCGTTCTGTGTTGTCTCTCTCCACTCTACTTTCAGCGACGTTATTGCGCGGGGGAGGATATTGCTGGTGTGCGAAGGAGCGATCGTTTGTCTTTACGACGGCGGCACGACCACTAATAATTGATTCTTGACAGTGCGGGGCCGGCCCTGGATGTGACTGTACCATACCTTCCTTAGGTCCTCTTCAAGAAGATTGGTGCATGGCACCTTCAAGCCCATGGGCATGCGAGGTGCTGTACAGCAGTAGTAGTAGTGCGTGCTGCGCGGTAGGCGTGTCTTCCAAGATTGAGGGGGTAAGGTACCCCATTGGTCGTATATGCCCGCGGTAAAATGAACGGAGGAATTTATTTCCCGTGTTGTTGCCATGCCCAGGTTGTTGTTGGTGACTGGTGTCTTAGCCGTTTGCTCCAATCTACATGTGGTTGTTCATTCGAATCTCATCTCTATTGATACGTTATCCAATGCGAACGTGGACGGAACGATTGATTCGGATTCGATTTTTGAGTATTTTCTTGCAGGGCTTCCAAACTTCACCACGGAAAACTCTTGCAGGTTCTTGAAGGTATGTGATCGGCCCAACGTACCTTCCGTTGTCGTGCATGATGAGAGTGTACACCGGGTGGTGACAATGTCGTTGTTGAGGGGCAAGGGGTACCGTAGCAGGTATGCCAACATGCCTCGGGTAGAAAGCATTTATTTGCGGTGGGCAGCTCAACACAATTGCTTCGGGTACGCCCACACAACGCCTGGGTAAAGAGTAAAGAGGGACACGCTTTTCTTGAGGATGTTGGGTCACGGCGACCATCACTTCTGGATTGTTGCAAGTTCGAAGTACTCTAATATATATATTTTTGCCACCGTTTCTTTCGTTCCATCCCTTTGCCTGACCCTCGAGCCTATACGTATGAAACCCGCACAAGTGAGTATTCCGTGGGCACAGGCAGCAGGGCGGATGCTTTCAATCCTTGAGAAGAGTTCATGGCACTACAGAAATTTATCGGTCCATCCCTTGTCATTCATTTGTTGTGTGTGTTGCTGCGTGTGGGAACGTATTATTTTGCGGGGGGTATGCATATATACGTGTGTTGTATTGTTCGCGTCGCCCCGCGAAAGATACATTGGATACATCACCACCCACCGCCGCACGGCCATCGCACAACACAAGGACCATACCAAACGAAGCTGTCCGATATCCTCGCACGCGCCAACCCCAGGCGTTGAAAGAGGATACGCTAGCCCTGCCCTACAGAAGCTTCGGACAGGAAGCGTGCTGATGTGTGTTGCTTTTGATTGGCCATAGGTTTGAATTCGAATCCCGCCGCATCTCGTCTGCGGTGACGCAGCTTCCTCCAGAGAGCACACCAACAAGGAGCCCTGATCATGGCGAGAACAACGTTAAGGGCAACTTCCGCTCGTAGGAAGGGGTCAGCTTCGCCTGCAGCTGGGAAAGGCAGCAAAGCAAAATCTGGAAAGAGCAAGGCTGTCGCCAAGGTACACCAGGTTGGCATTATGACTTGTTCAAATCTCGTATGCATAGACCACACATGTACAAAGATGCGTGCGGGTGATCGATGTCTGCTTGATTTGGAGAGGACGGCCAGTCTCGCGAACGCGTGAAGACTTACGTGAACAGCCTTCGCCTTTCCCTCTGTGTGTGTGTTGCGTGCCAAGCAGAAGACGGAGCCTGCAGCTCCAGAGGATGACGAGGTGGAGGTCATCGATGATGCGGCTGTCGGAGGTGATTTTTTTGTTGCAAATTTGCGCCAACCATCGCGCCATTGGTTCCTCCCCGTGTTCTCTGTTCCCTGTTCACAGACCCAAGTAGTCAGAGAGGTATGTCAATGAGCTAGCCCTCGTAGCGCCGACAGCAGTGGTAGCGGTCATACGGTTTGTTATCGCTGCGCTGCAGTTTGCCTGGTCTGACGAGGGTTACAGCAACAGGCCAACGCGGTGGCATGGCAATATGCCGGAAAGACTTGGTTCAGCACTGCTGACTGACATGCATCCCCGCCTCAATTTGTCGTTGTACCCAGTGGATACATGCGGTGTCGTAGGCAGCGTCAAGTGGGCCTTTGGGTCCCTGTTGCACGACGTGCGGAGTTCCCTTGATGAGGTCCAGTCCTCTTGCGTATTGCTGTTTGTCATGCAAACAAAAAAACATTCTCGAGACACTGTACCAACAAGTGGAACAACCACTGCTGTGTCAACTTCATCGGCAGTCAGTCGTCGTCAACCCTTGCTAATACTCTAGGCAGACCTCTGTTTCTGGTCATATCATATGTAGGACACTCCCTTGTGTTTTGGTCAGCAGTTTTGTTGGAGAAAGCTGTCGACAGTTGATACAGGACGTACGAAACCAGATACCACGTCGAGACAAATGTCGTGCCGAGCTCCGGAAATGCTGACAAACTCGCTGTGCGAATTCGTTCCCAAGTCCCCGCTTTTTCGCGCGCGGGTCTCCGACACCGAGAGGTCGAAATTTGTCTTGTGACGTCCTTCGGTTGTTTCGCTAGCGGTCAGTGCGCCTCACCTCACACTACTGTACCTGTGTTATGTAGTCAATCGATACACGTTTCATGGATTGTGCAGCGATTTCGCCGGTGAGCAAAGTTGCGTTCAAATCGTTACTCAAATTCTCTCTCTCGCGCGCCGCTTGTGCGATGTATCACTGCGCCTGCTGCCTTTGCCGCCGCTGCGTGCTGCCTGGTGTGGGTTCTGCTTGACACCGACGGACTGGCATCAATCGTGTTGTCATGTCATGTCATGCAGACAACAGCGACGACAGCGACTACGAAGCGGAGGACGACAGCGACAACGTGAGCCAGTACTTTCTGCTGCACATGAAAACATGTTTGTACCCAGACACGGGGCCCTTTTCGCGCCGAACCAAAACAGTTATCGCCGCAGCCGTGCTTGATCGTCTTTTCAGAGAGCAGAGATACGCGTCCGGGGTTGTAGCTTTTTCGGAAGCACGCGCTGCCCTCCTTGGGTTGGGCTGTACGTGTCGCCAGTGTGGGTGCGGGGCACCACTATAAGACCTACCCAGGGGGTGTGGTGTTTATGGGACCTTTACATTTCACGTTGCCCTTTGAAGTCGCTGCATCCTTGTCCTTCTTGCGGGTTGCGACAACGGTATCATGCTACCCGTGGCGGCGAGACATCAATGGCCGCGTGGTATTCAGTGTCTGAGCATTGTCTACGCGGTGCGGTGCTGTCACTATCTGTCTTTCCCTTCTTTTTTTTTTTTCAGGAAGGTGACTCCTCCGAGGAAAGCTCTGCAGAAGACAGCAGCAGCGACTTCGAAACCGCCAACAAGAAGGCCAAAACAAGCAGGCGGCCATCTTCGCCTCCTGCCCCACGATCGTCAGCCACACCAAACGGCACTTCGAAGAAGCGCAGCACCAGCACCAGCAACGGGACCATCGCTCGCAGCGCCGGCAGCGGCAACAACAGCAGTCCCTCTGGCGGCGGGAACGCGGCGGCGGCAGCAGCGACAGCGGCAAAGTCTGTAGCTCAGGCAAACGAAGCTGCTGCCGCGTCTGCCGCCGCCGCTGCAAGCGGGGGGGGCAGTGTGAGCGAGAGCGGCGGCGGTTCTTCTCGCGCCGGAGCCGGGGCGGCGGCGGAGGCGGTTGCCCAGACGGGAGCCCAGAAAACGAAAGGGTCCCCGATGAGATACGTTTGCGAGATCGCCAAGACTAGTCGGGCGATGTGCCGCAGGTGGGGCATGTCATGATTTTGGGGTAGAGAACGAAACGGGCAGGACAGAGCAGGGTGAGGTAGTGGGTTTGCGGGCAGAGTTGCAATGCGTGCAGGGTTGCAATGCGTCGGGTGGCGCTGCGTTAGGATTTCGAGGGCTCGGGAGGGGAAATTTCGGGGAATGTGCTAGAAGGGTGACCGTGGTAGCTTTTTGCGGGGTTGGCTTGCCGGGATGGCCGGGATGGCCGGGAGCGCCGAGGTGTCGCGCGAGAATTGCTCACAATGCACCTCGCTACACACACGCAAAGGCGGATTAGACTATGTTGCATTAGCTGTGTGCTGCAGTACAAAGGGCGTGAACGTGCGCTCTCAGAGAGAGAGAGAGAGAGAGCGAAAACGTTTCTTACACATGACGGGTGCCTCTCGAGTACCGCACGTGTATTGACGTGTGCGCACAGATCCACAAAGAGAAGAAAATACGACAATCTGCATACCCTCCCCCCCCCCCTTGATGCAAAACGCAGGTGCGACGAGAAGATCATGAAAGGCGCGCTCAAGATCGGAGTGGTAACGGAGGGGAGCTGGGGGCCGTCGACGCAATGGCACCACTTGATGTGCACCGTGTTCAAGGTCACCACGCCCGAAGAGGTGGAAGGCTACGGAGATCTCGATGACGCTGCCCAGGTGAGAGGGAGCACCGTACCGTAGGTTGCATGACGTGAGATACCACCCACCCCACCCTGGGCCAAAATTTCGAAAGCTCGATTTCTCTGCTGCAGAAAAAGCAGTGACGGTGCCGTAAATGGCGGCGTTGGAACCGCCTCGTCTAGACCTTTCCGAGAACATATCCTCTGATATTGGCATCCTCTAGGCCGTGGTGTAGTCGACCTTCTTTGATATCTAGGGGGTGTGGTATCTTGTACATCCTACGGCATACTGCTGTGTGTTGTGCGGGGCACCCGGCTAGGTAGGTAAGGTGGCGGCTGGCTTGGCCGCGATGAATTTCATTCATCACAAACGCGACATGAGGTGTTGCTTGTGTTGCGACGCTCTAGCGAATTAAATGGCCTAGAGGACCTGGTATGGTAGCAGGGGAGGTTTGCCGTTGGTGCACGTCTGGTCTTTTGCTCCGGAGTCGCCCTTTCCGTTAGTCTTGCTCGTGCCCCGCGGCAATCGTCCCAAATCAATTTGTCCATCAATCGCACAACGTGCTTTAGTTCTAGGACCATGTTGTGCGTATTCCTTCCCGGGTGTCAGTGTTCTCTGTGCCGGTAGTACGCTTACCCGCTCCCATACCCCCTTCGCGCGCTTGCACGCGCAGACCCTTCTCGAGCAGAAGGTTGTCAAGAGCCAGGGCGAAGTGGATGACATGTACGAGCCCATCACGCCGGACGACCTGGTGCGCAAGGAGTGGACAGAGAAGGCCAATTGTCCGGATGACATCATGGCGACCCTGCTGCCCTACCAGGCCGAAGGGTAAGGCGAGCCCCTTCCGTTCCTATTTTCAGAACCAGCTCGCACACAAGTACTACCTTGCAAGAGAGAGTTGGCTGTGGTTTTGGTTTGAAGTAGTTGGCGCTGAGTAGGCGCGCCAGACAAGTGTCCGGTTGAGTGATGTATGACACCTTTCTGCTGGTGCCAGGCCTAAGGATAAGGCCAGGGCTGTTGTTTCTCCCATGGTTTGTGTGGTTTGACGGTGGGGTGAGAAACAGTCGATGACGAGGCCTTCCGGCCTCAAGCCGTTTGAGCGTCGCCTACGCCCGCAAAGATATATCGTACTGCCAGAAGGCACTTTTTTCACTCCGAAATCGTGCAAGCCTTTGCGTTTTCGAGTCGTCCCTTCGAAGCACATGTGAAAACACATGTGAATTCTTTGCTTTCTATCGTCACTTTTTGTTTCCTTTTTGCTCGCGACGCCGCTGTCACGCGATGATGCTCTCTTTCCCGCACCGAGCAGGCTAGCGTGGATGCTCAACCAAGAGAAGCTAGACTACAAGGTGCGAAGCAAGCACCACATAGCACCTTTGCTTGAACAGGGTCTACGCATGTATTAATAGCATATCGCAACAAGACCTGCTGTCTCTCCCGATCCCGCTGAATATTTAACCTTACACGATAAGTTGGGGTCTGGGCCGCGAAGTGGTTGTGTTCAGCAGGAGAATACGATTACGCCGCCTAGCTTGTAGTGACTCGATCCGCAACACGCTGGATACGTGGAAGGAAGGGGTTCCAATCCTCAGACACAGCTCACCTGTTTGTATGTTTGGGTGTCTTGGTAGGGATAGGCTTTCCGTCAGTTCAACAGGCGTTTTCGGGGGGAAGAGGGATGTCCTGGTGAAGGACGATCTTGTCCGCTGTCATTGCTCCAACTTCCCGTTGCTTGCACTCTCACCCAGTTTGAGCTGAGCCTCCCCCTGTTTTGCGTTACTTCCTCTGCGTCCGGGACCCGCTGGATTGGACTACTGTCCGCACAGGGGGGTATCTTAGCCGACGAAATGGGCATGGGAAAAACGCTCCAGGTTAGTTCGGGGCGAGCATGGTCGGCTGAACTCAGAAATTTTCGACGGTCGTCAGTTCCTTGACGGTAGCCGGCCTGTCGACCAGTCGCCCTCCTCGGACTCCGACTTCAACTTCATCACATATGGTGTTTTGAAGGGAGTGTGAGGAGGGTCCTCTGTGTGTACGCATTCACCTGTATGAAGCACTGTCGGTGGTGTCGGCTTTGGCTACTCTAGTACTGCTGTTCCACCATTGTTGTCCATGAACAGCTGCTCCAATATCTGCGGTGCGTGCAGTCGCTTGGTGCGTCGTTTGTGATTCGGATTCTTGCACTTTCTTGCAAACCATATTTTCCCCTGGCATCCATCTCTCTCTTTATCGTCTTCTGTGTATAGATGTTTTGTAGACAAGTTTCTCTGTTCATGTGATGGGCGCTGATTTGAAGTGAAGACAAAAAAAAAAAAATGGCCCAAATTCTTTCAACCACAGGTAGGTGAGTTTCTGTTGGTCATCGTCATCATCTCTCCATTTCTTATATTTCTTGCTTTCTGTCTCGACTGTTGCTGTGCAAAACGCTCAAGGCGATCTGCACGATTGTGGCCAACCGGGTGAACAAGAAGGACAAGGTCATGCAAGAACGGTGGGCCAAGTCGGAGGAGGAGATGGGGCCCGGTGGCGCGTCGAAGGAATCCCGGGGGGGTACCCTGGTCGTTTGCCCCACTATCGCCCTGAAGCAGTGGCATAGCGAGCTTGCTCGCTTCGTGAAGCCGGGCGTCCTCAAGGTGGTGATTCATCACGGGGCTAAGAGAGCTACTCTCGCAGAGGTGGGAACTTGTGGCGGTCGTTGTTGTTGTTGTTGTTGTTGTTCTTCTTCTTCTTGTTCTTCTTCTTTGCTGTGGTCGTTAGTGGTATTGTTTTTGTTGCTGTCGTCCAAGCAGCGGAGAAACCCTTCGGTCCGACCCCATCCAGGAGATGAAGGCTGTGCTGAACCTTCAAGGAACTTTTTGTTTTTGTAAGTATTATTTTGCATGCGTGTATTTGTACATCCTTTGATTTTTTTCACTTGGTATTTTGTGTGTATCGTCCGTGCCGAACACTCTTCCATTGTATACCGCCCGCCCGCCATGTTTAGTTTTTATGACGCTTTCGGCATGTACGAATGTCTGACTGGCGTGCGACAGGATTTGACGTCGGCGGACGTGGTCCTAACGACCTACGCAATCGTGGAGAACGAGCACCGCAAGGCCTATGCGGGCGACAAGGTCGCCTGTCCGGACTGCGGGAAAACGTGAGAGATGTGTCTAGACGGAGAGAGGGAGCGAGGTGGATAGACAAGAGATAGAGGGGCAGAAAGAAAACGGCAGAGCAAGAATGCAAGAATGCAAGAATGCAAGAATGTAGAAACGTTCGTGGGTGTTATGGGGGGGGGGTGTTGCACCTGGGCGATATGCACCGCCTCTCAATTCTACGCAATTGTTGAACCCTTCTTAACTGGCAATCCTTTCGCCTTTGGTTCCATTATTTATTTTTTTCGTCTCTGGGTCGGATGTTGCTGCCAAGTGTGGACCGGGGGCATGTTTTGACCAAACGGATGTCTCTAGGTCGACCTGGAGCTCCTCCGTTTGTGATAAACCTATCTACAAACTTGCTTAGGTTTTCCTGACGCTCCGATGCCCTTCGCGCTTCGTAGCTCCTAGCGATGGGCGCCTCTCTATTTCTGGGATTGAAAAAGGTTATTTCACCACAGGCGCCTAGAGGCGAAAAAACCTCAATAAATATCGCACATTTTGGTTTTCGATCGGGTTTTTGCTCAAGACTGGCCTGGAATATATTTGGCCTGCCCTGGGGTGTCTCGCGCCCTCATGCTCGACGCGCCCCACGCTAGCGACAATGCAACATTTTGAGGTATCTCCCTGTTGTATATGTTCCTGCAAGCGTCCAACGGGTACGTGCGGTTCTTCTTCTCCTTTCGATCGGAGACCGGAATGGTTTCAAATGCATCACGACAACAACAGCACAGCTTCCGTTCAGCTACTACATCAGTTCGTTCGGCACCCGTCTACATTTGCCTCTACCTGAACCACTTGGCATCTTCTACTGCTACACTATCCTCACGCATATGTTCGGGATTAAGCGCAGCCCGCCCCCCTCCAAAAGGGGGGCGGGCGGAGCCCCCTTGTGCTGAATCTGAAATTTAATTTCTCTTTTTGGTTCGTTCAGGTTCGCTGGGCTCTTCGAGTCAATAACACGTCAGCTGTATGACCTGTTCGACCTAAGGAAACGTTACTGATGGCAACAGATTCACACCAACACGTGCTTTACTTCATCACGCCTTCATGACACTTCTGCTATGCTCTACAACTATGCTCTGATGAGCCCACTCCGGAGGTGCGCCTTGTAAGACATTATTGTCCGTGCATGTCGGCTCCCCGTGCATGGTTTTCCACGCCTGGCAGGCTGTACCCGGACAAGATGTTCGTCCACCGCAAGTACTTCTGCGGCGACAGCGCGCAGAGGACAGAGGCCCAGGCGAAGACGCAAAGAAAGGGGAAGGCGGCAAAGGGGGTAGCACCTTGTGAGTTCGTGGCGGCGTAGGTTAAGAAACAATGTTTGTTGTTGCTCGGTGCAGGTCTTTTTTTTTTTTTTTTGTCTGGGTTTTTCGTGGCAGAACCGGGAACAACACTCTCCGACACGCTCACGAGCGCACGTGTCTCCGAAGAAGGTACTACTGCGGTGGGTTGGCGAAACGTTGGAGTCTTCTTTTCTTTGTACGTCACAACTCCTCTCGCTGGAAACATGCACCGCTGCTGTCTCCACCTGTGCCTGCGATTTTTTTCGGGGGCCCGCAAGTGCCATGTATAGTCACGCAGGGACCCCTGTAAATATGGAACAGTTGTTACCCGTGAAGAAGAACGGACTTGTCATCTCGGCTGAAGCTGGAAAGGACGTGTGTGCCATGTGCGCTGTCGCCGACCCTCCGGTCGCCTCCTGCAGCATTTCATGGCACGTTGTCGTCTTCTTTCTCGCTGTGCTCGTTTTTTGTTGGCGTCGCTACTTTTCGTCGTCGTCGTACACAGGGAGACGCAAAGACAAGGGGGGGAAGAAGGGCGGCGGCACTGACGCCGACAACGGCACCACGCGAATCAACGTCAAAGTCAAGGGTAAGGGTAAGGGGGGCAGCGCGACCAAGAAGAGAGGCGCCGCCACCGGCAAGAAGGCAGCCGAGTCGTCGGAAGAGGAGGAGGAGGACGAAACCGCCACCACCAAGATCAACGTCCGCGTCAAGGTCTCCCCAAGAGCGAAGCGCGCGGCAGCCGCTGCTGCTGCGAAGAAGAAGAAGACAAGGTCTAGGGGCTCGAGCAGGGACAGCTCTGACGATGACGATGACGATGACGACTTCGAGGAACCGTCAGCCAACGGCAAGAAGCGGAAGTCGACGGCCGGAGGCGGTAAGGGGGGGGGGGGTAAGCGCGGAAGGCGGGACAAGGCCGATGCTGATGAAGAAGGCAAGACGACCGACATCTCAACGGGGAAGCGCGGCGGGAAGGGCAAGGCGAGAGGGAAGGGCGCCGCGAAGCAGAAGAGGAAGCGCGGGGGTGATGGGGATGACGACAGCGATTGGGGAGGGACGACCGACATCTCCAAGGCGAAGGGCAAGGGGAAGAACACCAAGAAGAAGGGAGGGAAGACGAAGAAGAAGAGCGGGGGGTCCAAGGTGAGGCCAACATATCCCCGTCGCCGTGGGAAAAGCGGTTGTTGGTCTGAAGGGTCTTGTTTTGGTTGGCGAAGTTAGGCTATTTTGCGGTATAATCTAGCTTATGTTGACGACTCAATGCTGCGAAACCAAGGTAGGTGACCAGCGGTGGCTGCTGTGAAATTTGGTCAACCGACGGCGTGCTGTGTACTCGAGGTAAACAATATCGAGGACGCGGTTTCGTGTTGTAATTTTTTTTGCCTTCGGAGTGGACCGACGAGGTTGCTGTTCGTTCTCTTTCGGTTCCCGCACCCCACCATCGCAAGTACCGTTCCAACACTTGACAAATGATTTTCGCCTGTTTGCTCTGCCTTGGCGACGCTTGTCCTTGCAGGGAAAGCGAGCCGCGGGCGAGTCGGACAGCGAGTGGGGCGAGCCCAGCGAAGATTCGGACTCTGACTACAGCAGCGGCGATGACGACTCGGACGCCGGCAACGGCCGCGGCGGCGGTGCCCGGGCCAAAAAGGAGGCCGCGTTCGCCAAGGTCCTCAAGGACATGATGGACAAGCGGGACAGCGCCGAGCCGGGGGTACTGCAGGAGGTGCGCGCACGGCTCTTCCGTTAAGGGTCAGGGTTGCCAACACGCGTGGATGGATATCTAGTTCGGCGGCAGAGTTGTGTGATTTGGGCAGATTTGTTGTCTTTGGCAAATGTCGTGAGCGTTTGGAGTTCTTTGTTTGTGTTGGCGGGGTTCGACACCGCGGGCCCCTGTTCCTCTGTCGTACGTGCGTTGGCGCACGGCCCCCAGATCTCTTGGCAGCGCATCATGCTGGACGAGGCCCACTTCATCAAGGACCGGTCCACGTCTACAGCCAAGGCTGTCTTCGCGCTTACGTCGCTCTACAGGTGGTGCCTGACCGGCACCCCGTTGCAGAACAGGGTAAGCCACGCTGCTTGTTTTTGGGTTGGGGATACATAATGACAAGAACAGGTGTTGGTACGCACACATCGTTGCGTGCGATTGCCATCAAGAAGGATGATCAGTGCAACTGTTGCGTCAATTATTGACGCAGGAGGGTGATGGTCTCTTCGTTGTTTTCGGCTTTTCATTGTCAGAAAAACTGTTTGAGAAAATTGTTCGAGAAAACAATTTGTGTCTCTATCTAGACCTGCGTCTTCCATTCCACTTGAAACGGCCTACTTCTAGTTTTGTTTTTCGGGGCGACGGCACCGGACGTGTGAATGTCCAGGGTGATCGAGCGCACGTGTACTTATCTTTATTTTGTATTTTTCCAGGGAAAAGGAGAAAAATATGGCACGCCAGGTTTCGATCCTGGGTCCTCGAGGTTATGAGCCTCGCACGCTACCTCTGCGCCACGTGCCAGTCCTACATGTGATAACTCTGGGTCCTCGAGGTTATGACCCTCTCACGCTACATCTGCGCCACGTGCCAGTCCTGCATGTGATGACTACGTTCCACATCGTTTTTTTACTGAATCTGTTTTGGGAGGCGGGAGGTCGTGCGTTCAAGGAAGCTCTTTGTGGTACACAGGGTTATGCTGTACATACCAGTGACAGCATTTCCAAGCATGCTCTCTCTCTCTGTCTCTTTCCTCTTGGACGGTTTTTGTACCAGAGAAGAAAAAAACTCATGGCACGCCAGGTTTCGATCCTGGGTCCTCGAGGTTATGAGCCTCGCACGCTACCTCTGCGCCACGTGCCAGTTTGATGTCATTCGTATGAGGCTTACGTTCCGTAGCTTTTTCTGTTAAATTTGTGTTTGGAGGCGATGCGTCCCAGGACGCCCTTGGTGGTGTAGATATTGGTATACATATCAGCGAAAGTACCACGCACGCTCTCTCTCTTTCTCTCTCTATCTCTAACACGGTTTAATCTTGTTTTTCTTAGCAAAGAAAGAAAAAAAACATGGCACGCCAGGTTTCGATCCTGGGTCCTCAAGGTTATGAGCCTCGCACGCTACCTCTGCGCCACGTGCCAGTAGATGGGGGTGTCGTGTCGGTGTTCGTCTTCCCTGACTATTTTGATTTAGTCTGTATTGGGAGATGGTGCGTGCGAGGAAGGCTTTGGTGGTAGATTCTGCTACCAGTAGAAGCAGTTGTTGTTGTTGTTGTTTCTCACATTTGCCCTATAAACCACAAAATGGGGAGCCCGTGGTCGAAAAGACCCGGCACATACGACGCCGCGGGGAAACAAAACAAAAATAGGGTACAAACCACTCGCAAAAAAACAAAATGAAAGAAGGAAAAGAACAGCTACCGTACCGATCGGTCGAGAAAAGAGAAACCGATCAAAATAAAGCAAAATAAAATTAAAGATGAAAAGGAGGACGCTTCCCACAAACCGCCTAAAAAAATCAAAGGGTGACGTACCAGCACCAGGCACTACTCACTCACCAGGGCATGGGAGTAATGGAGGCAACAGAACAAAGAGGCGGCAGATGGGCAGACAGCCAGAAATATAAACGCAAAAGCAACAGCAAAATGGAGATCAAGGTACCCAACAAGGCAGAGTAGGCAGGGAGGACACGAAAAAAGAAGCACAGGACAGAGGCCGAAGGCAATACGAAGGACATACAGGAGTATAGCATACAGCAGGGAGGGGAACAGGGCGCAACAGCATCAGCCGGGTACATAATTCGCGACAGGTGTGTCGGCCGCCCTACTCGCTTCTACAGCAGTGCCTGGTCGACGTTTCTTCCCCCCCACCGCCGCTTCCCCGACTCTCTTTCTCTTCGGTCCCGAGATGGCCGTACTCTCTGCTTCTGCTTCCCTCGGGCGCTGGCGCTTCGCGGACGCTTCCGCCTCCTGTCTGTGCCATATCCTCATGAACCATGCCGCCCCGTCCTCGACCTTGTTGTACCACGCCTCCTGGTCCTCGGCGCTCTCTTTCCATTCCCCCCCTTCCTTTCGTCTCCCATGTTGAACGCCACGAGGTCCTCTGCTAGACGAGACACCCAGTCGCTCTCCTGTCCACCCCGGTATCCCACGCCCCCCGCCATCGTTCCTAGCAGCATGCGCTTGGGGAGGCGGTTGTCCTCCATGCGCATAACAAAGCCCGCGAAACACAGTCTCCGTTTGCGCACGGTGGCCTAGATGGTTTCCTCGCAGCCGGCCTGGATGAGGGCCTGGGCATAGGACAGGGGGCGGTCTGAGCGTTTCCGCTTGCTCCAGCCGATGCCCTGTGTCAGGAACTGGCGGTGGGTCCCTTTGAGCTTCGTGTAGTGCTCCGCTGTTCGGCTACACGAGGCGCACCCGTATAGGAGAGTCTGCACCACTTCCGCCTGGAGTAGCCGGATCTTGAGCTGGCGGTCGGCCCGTGGCGTACATCGAAGCATTGTTCCGGCGGTAGCACTTCCACGCTCGGCAGCTGCGGCTCGTGATCTCCCGGTCGGCCTTCCCGTCCGCGCAGATGGTACGTCCGAGGTACACAAACCGATCTGTCTGCTTGTACGTCTGGCCGGCGGCGCTGACCGTGAACGGACATTCCTCGATCCCTTTCGGCAGCATGTGCATGATCTCCGTCTTTGGCTCCATACCATCGGTCCGAACAGGCCGGCCACGCGCACGATGACCGACATAATCTTCTCGAGACTCTCCGGCGAGGAGCGCGAGACGATGGCCGCGTCGTCAGCGTAGAGCATGGCCCACAAGGCCTCCACGTCCGTCACCACCGTCGTCTTCTTCCCCGCCGACCTGCCCTTCTTGCCCGTGTACTCCACTTGTGTCCCGATCTTGACCATGTCCGCCGTTACCTTGGGGTCCTTGTCGAACTCGGCCACTGCGACCATGAGCATCGCGGCAAAGAACAAGTTGAACAGCAGCGGGGCCAGGTTGCATCCCTGTCGGAGGCCTTGGCCCACGTCGAACCATTCCGAGTACTGTACTGCCCGTCGTCCGTTCGGACGCGCGCCCTCATGCCCTCGTGGGAGTGGCGAATGACCGCCAGCATCTTCGGGGGCACGCCGAAGCGTCGGAGCACGTCCCACAGTAGGTCTCGGTCCACCGAATCGTACGCCTTGGTGAGGTCGACGAAGCACGCGAAGACCGCAGTACTCTTCTTCCTCGCGAGCTCATGGAGCCGCTGGATCGCGAACAGCATGTCGAGCGTCGACCGGTGTGGGCGGAAACCGCTCTGCTCCTCCTGGAGGATGCCCTCTCGCTCGCAGTAGTGGCTCAGTCGTGTAGCAACGACCTTGAGCAGCACCTTGCCGGCGTGTGCGACGAGAGAGATGCCCCGGTAGTTGCCGCACTCCATCGTGTCCCCCCTCTTAAACAACACTTTGATGGTGGCATCCTTCCACTGCTGTGGTACGTCCCCCGTCTACCACACGTCCACGACGATGGCGTGGAATTCGCGGAGGAGACCTTGATCTCCGTCCAGGAAAAGCTTGATCAGCTCAGCCGGTAGGTCGTTCGGCCCGACGGCCTTCCTGTTGGCCATTTCCCGTACCGCATCCTCAACCTCGAGTAGAGATGGGATGTCGTCGAGTGGCACGCACGTGGGCCACCGCTTGACCCTGTCAGCCGCATGCAGGTCGATGGTCGGCAACTTGGGTTGAGAAGCTTGTGGAACCACCGCGCCCACCGCTGGCGAATAAACGTGGGGTCCCGAAGGACCTTGCCGTCCTCGTCCTTGATGTTCTGAGAGGTGAACGACCTCTTACCTTCGACGTTGATCATCTTCAGGTGCCTGTAGAAACCCGCCTGATTCCCCTCCCGGCCCTTTTTCTCGAGCTGCTGTACATAGCCCTCGAAGAACGTTTCCGGCGCTCCCCACCTCGCGATGCTGCGCTTCTTCCGCGCGGCCTTGAGCATCGCCTTCAGGGTCGCCTCGAAGGCGCTGTTCTGTGAGGCCCCACGCAGTTGCTGTTGGGCCGCCCTAATTTCTTTAGACGCTTCGAAGATCTCGCGCTGCGCTTCGCTCGTGTACCAGCCTCTCGGCCCTCGTGCGCACCTCGCCAGCGGCGTGGTCTCGGCAGCGGCCGACATCACCATACCCGTGAGATCGGCGGCGGTCTCTTCCGTTGGCCGCCTGAGCGCCGTGGGCGGAGGGCGGCGGGAGACCCTGTCTTGGAAGGCGGCCCGTAGGTGGTTGTCCTTCCTCAACCGCTCGAGGTCGATACAGATCCGGCTGCTTCCGCTGTTCCCCCGCACTCGTCGGTTGGGTGCGACACGGGGGGGGAGGCGGGCAGTCGTAAGCACGAGGTTGTGGTCAGAGTCCTTGAAGTCGACATGTTTGACGGAGACATTACGCACAAAACGCCTGTCCGTCTGACGCATGAGGATGAAGTCGAGGCGGTACTTCTTCTTCCCCTTGTTAGAGCTCTGGAATGTGTGCTGCACTCCACCTTTCGGTGTTCGGAATTAGGTGTTGATCAGGGAGAGGTGGTTGTCTGATGCCAAGGAGTCGTTCCCCGTTATTGTTCTTAATGTCGCGTCCATACGCGCCCATAATCTTGGCATCGCAGCACCCGTCTCGCCTCATGCCAGTACGTGCGTTGGCGTCCATTAGCACCACGAGATGGTCACGGCTGTGAACCTCCCGGATCGCTGCGTCGAGAGCAGTCCAGAAGGAGTCCTTGGTGTTGACATCACCGCCCGCGGTGGTGCGGACAGTTTCCGTGGGGGCGTACCCCACCACGAAAGTTACTCCGCAGGTGCGGCCAATTTGTAGACGCACCGTCATCAGCCTCGGGCTAATGCACTCCACCGTCCTACCTTCCTCGCCCACACTCTCCCACGTGGTCTCCTTGATCGCTATGCCCACACCGTGCACGCCCCTCTTGTCCTTGGTGCCAGCACGGGCGCCACTCCAGATGATCACGCACCCGTCGTGTGCAATTGAACCTTGCCCCTCTCGTCGGGTCTCCTGAAGTCCTATCACATCAGCGCCGGTCGCGGAACAAATCTGCATGACCGTCATCACGTTGTGACCGATGGGGTTCCTACCGCTGTAGGCGAGCGTGCGTATGTTGAACGTGCCGAACGAAAGGTCGCCCTCCCGTGCCTTCTTCTTCGCAGCCACCTTCACGGCCGCTGCGGTCTCCTGTCTCTCTCGGTCCGCCTCGCGTTGCGGGTGTGCTTTCTTCCGTATTTTCCGAGCGGCGAGTTTCCTCGCATCGGTCCATCTCTGCAGAGCTCGGTTCTTGCCTGTGGTGCTTTGACGAGGAGGGTGCAGCACTCCCTCCCCGCGGTGCCCGCGGTTGTCTCCCTTCTCCCGCGAGCGGTGCTTACTGACGTGGTGTTTACGAATCTCTCTACTCCTCCAGCTTCGTGGGCCACACCGCGCCGGTGGTTGCCAGGTGCAGTTTGCCGCTTCGCATTACTGCCACGGGAACAGTGTCCATACACACCTCTCGCCACTACCACCGTCGGTGCAACCGCCACGCCGAGCCAGCGCGGCGGTGAGTTGCACCTTGGGACACCATCCGCCTACTATCTGTTGTGGCCTGGTTCGCCCGCGAGGGACTCACTAGGTCGATTTCGGCCCCGGCCGGGGAGCAGGCCGAGGGGGGAGGAGGACTGCGGTGTACCTCTCTCTCTCTCTCTCTCTTGTACGGTTTAATAAATCTATTTTTTGTAATGAAGCAGGAAAAAAAGAATGGCACGCCAGGTTTCGATCCTGGGTCCTCGAGGTTATGAGCCTCGCACGCTGCCTCTGCGCCACGTGCCAGCTTGGGGGATGATTGTGTGGGTGTTCATGTCCCTGGCGATTTTCATTTAGTCTGTATTGGGAGATGGTTCGTGCGAGGCTTTGGTGGTAGATTCTGCTACCAGTGGAAGCAGTGTAGTGTGCCTCTCTCTCTCTCTCTCTCTCTCTCTCTCTCTCTCTTACACGGTTTAGATCTATTTCTTGTATTGAAGGAAAAAAAGAATGGCACGCCACGTTTCGATCCTGGGTCCTCGAGGTTATGAGCCTCGCACGCTACCTCTGCGCCACGTGCCATCATTGGGATTGTTCGTGTGGGTGTTCCTGTTCCCTGGCGATTTTCATTTAGTCTATAATGAATGGGAGATGGTGCGTGCGAGGAAGGCTTTGGTGGTAGATTCTACTACCAGTGGAAGCAGTGTACCTCTCTGTCTCTGTCTCTCTGTCTCTCTCTCTCTTACACGGTTTAGATCTATTTCTTGTAATGAAGGGAAAAAAGAATGGCACGCCAGGTTTCGATCCTGGGTCCTCGAGGTTATGAGCCTCGCACGCTACCTCTGCGCCACGTGCCATCATTGGTGTAGTTCGTGTGGGTGTTCCTGTTCCCTGGCGATTTTCATTTAGTCTATAATGAATGGGAGATGGTGCGTGTGAGGAAGGCTTTGGTGGTAGATTCTACTACCAGTGGAAGCGGTGTACCTCTCTCTGTCTCTGTCTCTGTCTCTCTCTCTCTGTCTCTCTCTTACACGGTTCACATCTATCTATTTCTTGTAATGAAGGGATAAAAGAATGGCACGCCAGGTTTCGATCCTGGGTCCTCGAGGTTATGAGCCTCGCACGCTACCTCTGCGCCACGTGCCAGCTTGGGGGATGATTGTGTGGGTGTTCCTGTTCCCTGGCGATTTTCATTTATTCTGTATTGGGAGATGGTGCGTGCGAGGAAGGCTTTGGTGGTAGATTCTACTACCAGTGGAAGCAGTGTAGTGTGCCTCTCTCTCTCTCTCTCTCTCTCTCTTACACGGTTTACATTTATTTCTTGTTAATGAAGGGAAAAAGAATGGCACGCCAGGTTTCGATCCTGGGTCCTCGAGGTTATGAGCCTCGCACGCTACCTCTGCGCCACGTGCCATCATTGGGATTGTTCGTCTGGGTGTTCCTGTTCCCTGGCTATTTTGATTTATTCTGTATTGGGATATGGTTCGTGCGAGGAAGGCGTTGGTGGTAGATTCTACTACCAGTGGAAGCAGTGTACCTCTCTCTCTCTGTCTCTGTCTCTGTCTCTCTCTCAGTCTCTCTCTTACACGGTTCACATCTATTTCTTGTAATGAAGCAGGAAAAAAAGAATGGCACGCCAGGTTTCGATCCTGGGTCCTCGAGGTTATGAGCCTCGCACGCTACCTCTGCGCCACGTGCCATCATTGGTGTTGTTCGTGTGGGTGTTCCTGTTCCCTGGCGATTTTCATTTAGTCTATAATGAATGGGAGATGGTGCGTGCGAGGAAGGCTTTGGTGGTAGATTCTACTACCAGTGGAAGCAGTGTAGTGTGCCTCTCTCTGTCTCTCTCTCTCTTACACGGTTTACATCTATTTCTTGTTAATGAAGGGATAAAAGAATGGCACGCCACGTTTCGATCCTGGGTCCTCGAGGTTATGAGCCTCGCACGCTACCTCTGCGCCACGTGCCAGCATCGTGGTTGTATGCGTGTGCCGTTGCATTCCACACCTATTTCTCACTGGATCTGCTTTGGGAGGTGGTGCGTTTCAGACAAGGTTGTATCATTATCGCAGTCTCTTTTTCTGTCTCTGTCTTACAGGGTTGATTTTTATTTCCAAGGCGTGCTGGCTCAGAGGTTAGAACTATTCTAGAACATGATTCCGTTGTTGCCCGTTCGACGCCCTTCTCTCTTCGTCAGGAACTAGAAACCTATTTGTGTGGTAGTCTGAAAGGGACTCGATGTCGCTCCAATCAAGTCAGTTGACTACCTGGTAGAATGTTTTGTTCATATGACCGAATTGTTCATCCATCGGAACCCCGCGCGTGGCCGCAGATGCAGTGTGAACCAGCGCCTATTCGTCTCCCAACCCCTTTTTTTTTTCGTTGTTGAACTAGCTGGGGCTACACAGCCTCGCAACCAATCCTCCAACAAATCACATTCATTCCGGGAATGGGCAAAATGAAGTACCGCCCGGATCACTTGCGTTGTCTCAACCCCCTACCCGTCTAACATGATGCTGCCCCCCCCCTCCCCTTGTTATCAATAACGAACCCCAAACGCCTTCCCAAGGTGGGGGAGCTGTACTCGCTCGTGCGCTTCCTTCGGCTCGACCCTCACGCCTTCTACCAGTGCCGCAGCAAGGGTTGCGACTGCAAGAGCCTCAACTACCGGTTCGGTCCGGAATGGCGGGCCTGCGAAGAGTGCGGGCACACCCCCATCATGCACTACGCCAACTTTAACCGGCACATCCTCAACCCCATCTCGTGAGTGCAAGTCCCGTACGCACGTCCTGGGAAGACGAGAGAGAGAGAGAGAGAGGGAGGGAGGGAGGGAGGGAGGGAGGGAGAGAGAGAGACGCCTGTCTGGTGTATGTCGGTTCTCGATTCAATGTTTCGAAGACGATTTAGGGTTTCGGGTGGCCAGTTCTTGACTTGTCGACCGGGAGTGGAGTCTTTTGGCCTATCGTCACAACGTGGTTCTGTCATCGTCTTCTTTTAGTCTGCTTCGCTCGTCGATGGAACCCCGCCGGTTGCTGATAGCATATTGGTGTTGTACCGCATAGGGGTCGAAGAATGAAGCCAGTAAAAAAACAATCGTCTTTGTCTGGTGTCTCGCAAAGTCCGTCCGGAGCTAGCCTAGCACGAAAGTACGACGATAGGCCCTGGATAAGGGGTGATGCATTCGCGTGTTTTAATGCTGTTTTGTAGAACGCAAAGACTTCCCCCAGACTCCACTTACTCATGGCATATGCAAGCGAGCTTCACGTTGATCACTGCAATTGTAGTTTAACTGCGGTGGAGGTGACCTTTTTATACAGGGTCCCATCTACCGAACTTGTGTCTGTTGAGGACGATAACCTCTTTGATGGCAGTACGACACGATAAGTGGTGACGTTCTTGATGTCGCTGCCCTCCTTTGCTGGTGCAGCCGCACGGGCTACGTCGGTGAGGGCAAGAAGGCCTTCCTGCGGCTGAAGCGCGAGGTGCTGGACATGATCTTGCTGCGCCGCACCAAGAGCAACAGGTCCAACGACATCTGCCTGCCTCCGCGCATCGTCAGGGTTAGGCAGCACCGCCTTGACGAGCGGGAAGAGGTGGGTTCATGACGGTTACACGTACCTCTTGACCGTTGTTGTTGTGGACGACTCAGGCTCCTTCCGTAGACGATGTGGCAGATGGGTACCGTACCGTTATTGTTTTTTTAGCATCGCCGTTGCCATTACCGTCGGCGCGGCCTCTACCGCTGTGTTTCTCCATCCAATGCGGTGTCAAGGCC